GGGCCGGGGGCAGGGGAGTGGGGTGGGGTGGGGAACACATTTCTTGACTCTCTTGCAGCTAGGGTTCTCGACGAGATTTACGGTCTGCCAACAAGATACCCTCAGGAGAGGTTTGCAAGGTGGATGTAAAGCAGAGTCTATCTGTTTGGGATGGAGCCAAAGGATGGACAAGCTGGGTAGACAGGGGTCTTTGCCGAGGCTGGACATTTGTTAAGGTGGCCTCGTCACTGGTGTGAGCAGCTAGGAAGTGACTGTCCAGCCCAAGGTCCTTGAGCCAGAATCTAAGCCCCAGGCAGGTTTGACCACAAGGCCTACCACCTCCCTTCTTCATCAAGCTGCCTTCTCTTGGGCACCCTGCAGCCCACGCTGGTACATGCACAAGGGATGTGGAGCTGCCTCCACTCCAGCCCAGGGGATGGCCAGGTCACTGCTTTCCCTAGAGCTCACCCTCCCAGTCAGTCCAGGATATAAGCCTCCCCTCCAGAGAGATGTGCACCCTGAAGCCCGGGGCCAGGACCCTTGTGCCTCCAGCCTGGTATCGAACACTGTTCAGGAAACAGCGAGTGATTAAGATGATCATTTTCAGGCAGAGCAGGAATTTGGACCCAGTGTCAGTGGAGACATAGAAACTCACAATTTCACAAAGAAGGATTTCACATCAGTAGATTCTTAGCCCTTCTCCACCCCTTCCTCACTGCCCAGAAATTATGTGAAGGGTCATTTTGGGATGGACAAACTAGCCTTATGTAGTTTAGCTCTGTCTGGGTAGGTGAGGGACCCCTGATCTTCCGAGTTCTTGGTCGTAACCGAGCGATCACTTACCCAGCTTGGGTTGGACGTGGGAGGTGAATCTTCCTCTCTCTGAGGTTATGGAGTAGGAAGAGCCTTTTGACTCACACAAATGCCAGCTTTGATCAGCAATGAAGGTGATATGTTGGCCCCTATCTGCCACCTCCTTGTTTTATTTTTTATTTGTTCAAATCCCATATGGGGAAGATGGGGCTGTGATAGGTCGAACTGTGTTCCCTGCCTCCCTGCCCCATTCATATGTTGATTCCTAACTCCCATGATCTCAGAATGTGACTTCATACGGGTAGGGTCACTGCAGATGTAATTGGTTAAGATGAGCTCATACTGGGGGCGGGGGGGGGGGGGAGCTAATCCAGTAAGACTGGTGTTCTTATGTAAAGGAGACATTTAGACACAGACATGCACCTGGGGAAACACCATGTGAAGTCTGGAATTATCCTGCTCCAGCCGAGCAACTGCCCCAAGCTAGCAGAGAGAACTGGAACAGACCCGTCCCTGGCTCCTCCTAGGGGGCGTGGGTCTGCACGATGAGACAATACATTTCTGTTGTTTGAGCCTCTCAACCTGTGAGACTTTGTTACAGCAGCCCTAGGAAACTGAGATGGGGGGGCGGCTATTTCTTGGAGTCAGGGACTCCCAGAGCCTGGTCATTAGGGCTTTAAGACTCCCTTCTGGCATTGTGCTGCAGCAGAAACTTCTCCTCTTGCAGCCTTCTGAAAAGAACCACATTACAATCCTCCCAAGGACACCCAGAATTTAAACCCCACTCCTGCACTCTGTCCTTAAACTCTTGGGACCCCCTCTAAATAATGACACTGCTGTTGGTCCCTCAGACTCAGAAACAGCCCTGCCCACTGAGGTGCCTGGGCGGCTGCCCCCCACTTCCTTCTCAGCTGCTCCAAACCCTGCATCTTCTCCTTCCCTTTGCAGCTTTAAATCCCCATCTCCTTGAGCTGTGTGCCCTCAGCCCTAACCTACACTCAACCCTCTCCCCACGCTTCCCTAAGATGCTCTTTCTTCCTTCAACTTCATTTTACTCCAGGGATGGTCTTTCTCTGCTTTAGCTGCTGGTCAAGAATACCCCACATCTCAGAAGAGAATTACAGTGCTTGTTCGAGAAGACAAAACCCAGACTGAAGGAACAGAAAGCACAGCAGACACGGAGGGTGGGAGCAGAAAAGCTTGTAGGAAAGCCTTGGATTTTGTGTAACCAGCAGAACTTGAACGTTATTACTAAAATAGTAATGCATTTATTTAATTATGTTTATTATAAACAGCCAACCAACTTGTTCTCAGGGAAAACAGTCAATGAGATCCACGATTAAACTCTTTAAATAGCAGGATGCCTGGGTGGCTCTGTGGGTTAAGCATCTGCCTATTCAGCTCAGGTCGTGATCTCAGGGTGCTGGGATGGAGTCCTGCATTGGGCTCCCTGCTCAGTGGGGAGTCTGTGTCTCCCTCTCCCCTACCCGCCCCCCCCACTAGTGGTCTCTCTCTCTCACTCTCTGTCTCTCAAATAAATACATAAAATCTTAAAAAAAAAAAAACTCTTTAAATAGCAACACATAGCATCTGTTTTGTACTTTTTGTAATGCAATTAACAAAAGGTTAAGGGGATCTAATGTTTGTCACAGAGACTATAGTTAGTAATACTGTATTATATTTTTGAAATTTGCTAAGAAGGTAAATCTTAAGTGTTCTCACCATACAGAAAATGAAAAGGTAACTATGTGAGGTGATGGATTGCTAATTAATGTGATTGAGGTAATCATTTCAAAATGTACACATACATACATTAAATCATGTTCACCTTTAAAATATCACATTGTACAACCTAGTATATACAATTTTTATTTGCCAGTGACACCTCAATATAGCCCAAGGTAAAAAAGGCAAAAATGACTAAGAAAGAAAAAAGCTGATGAGTGGCTCATGATATAAATCAGGAAGAGGACCATGGCCAAAGCCTCTTGGGGAGAAGACTTGTGTGTTCTATGGAGAATTCCCTGCTCCTAAATTTCCCTTCTGCACTGCCTGAAAAGGCACTCATGGAATGTTAAAGTTGGGGATGGTGAATGAGTCATTCACTCTTTAGTATGAAATAGAGTTTCAGTGCCGTGTCGCAACACTAGAAGAGACAGCCCGATGAAATAGGAGCTTAGAAAAGAGTGAGGAGGGTGGGTCCACAGGCCCTTGGGGAAGTGTGTGGATGCTGCAAAGCCAGAGGCAGGGTCGGGACACTGTGAGAGTCATGTGGGAGGGGCGGAGGATAGGGCTCTGAGAGAGTTGGGGGGAGGTCTGGAAGGAAAGTGGCAAGGGGCTGAGTAGAGAGGTGAAAATGAGTGTGGAAGGGGAGGGATGGGTGCAGAGCCAGAGCTCAGGAGTGAGGAAACACAGGGAAGCCTGCCTGCCAGTGTCCTTGCGTGCGGCGGCCTCAGGAGCCCTGTGGCCAGGGGCTGGGACGACCAGCCGTGGACTAGGGAGTCACATGGGCCCGGGGCTCATTTCCTCATAGATGAAATGGCTGAATTATTCCTACGGAGTTGTGTTCCCACCTTAATTTTACTTCTGAAAGATACTCAGGGCCCTAGAAGGTCTTTACCCAAAGGTCTCTGTCAGTTGTTGGGACAGGACCCTCAGTCCAGACCCCTGACTTCCAGGACAGCCCTGCTATCTGTCCTGCGTAACCCAGCCTGGGCCCCTTCTCACTGCTTCTGAGCACTTTTTATGCCCTGCTGTTGTGCTGGGTTGTCTTTCTTATACCTTCACTGTCTTGTCTTATACCTGCACCACACCTGCAAGGCCCCATGGCTTCTCTTTTACTGCTTCGAAGGCCCAAACTCAGAGGGGTGAAGTGACTTGCCCAAAGACACACAGACGGTTGGGGGGGTCAGCTGAGCACCACATCTGGGGCTCCTGACTTATACATGCTAACGGGGGCCTTGATTTGCATCCTCAGCTATACCCAGTTCTCCTGGCATCTTGAGGTCACCGTTGACCTTCCATTCTGGAGGAATTTCAATCTGCTGCCCCAAAGCACCCAGGCTGGTTTCAGCTTCTGGCAGGACATTCGAGCCCAGGTTCCCCAATCCCGCTCCACCTCCCAATACTGAGGAGCTTACACAATGAGGTAGGATTCCCTGAGACACACCAGGGACACATACGGGGTCCTAGAGGGGCTTCTGGAAGGAGCCACAGCCTGCAGCTGCTGGGGTTGGGGAGGGAGGCTCAGAGGAGGCATACAGAAGAGGCTGCAGACTCATCCCTGCACAATGCAGCAGCTCCCCCAGGAAACTCCTCAGCTGCTCACTCCACCCCATCCTCCCGAAAGCCCTTGGGGATGAGGCCCCCAAAGCGACATCACTGAATTTAGTGTTCAAGGCTGCTGTGATGGTTAAACTGCAAACTTGCCCTAGGCTGTCTGATCAGCTGGGCTGTGCACTGTTGGGCCATGCCCTAGACCTATGGTGATGGGCATCACATCCCTGGGAGTGAGCCAAAACACAGAGGCCCAGTCTTGCTAAAGCAAGACAGGGAACGGCCTTGGATTCTTACCAAGTCCCCCAGGAGATTCTAATGAGACCAAAGTTGGGCATGGAGCCTTGCTTCTCAAAGTGTGGTCCATTGACCAGAAGCGTTGGCTTCACCTGGGAGCTGTTAGAGAGGCAGAATCTAGGCCCCAGCTCAGTTCTACTGAATCAGGGTGTGTACGCACATGAAGGCTTGAGAAGCCGGGGGAGGGAAGGCTTCGTGGATTATTGATTACTGATTCCTGGCTTGCCAGGCATACACGATGCCATTTGATCCCCATGATAATCGGGAAGGTGGACACCAGTTTATGTTTCACAGAAGACGACACTGAGGCTCAGAGAGGTAAGTGACTTTTCTGAAGCCATGGGTCCACAGGTAGAGGGACTCCCCAGCCCTACCTCGCATTCCCACCTCTGCCCCGTCATCCCCGCACCGGGACATGAGCAGCTCTGCCTTTAGCCACGAAACCCTCCAATACATTGGGCTTGACTCACTGTGCTGGACACAGACCAGAAATTACACAGATGTGCGTCCACCAGAATTAAACAAAAAAAGGCTTTCTAATCAACCCTCAAATCCAACTCCCCAGGACCCCAGTCTCCCAGAGCCTCAAACTTCCTGCTGAAAGAGTCTCTGTAAAGCATGCATAACAGGCTTACCATGTTCATCCAGCAAGATGTTGTCTGGCTTGATGTCTCTGTAAGAGAAAACAAATAGGCTGACAACGTGATTCCTATTGAAGAGCACACGACAAACATGAAGCTTGGGGACAAATGCCTGACAACATCCAGAGTGCCTGTCTCTCCCTCAGCATGAGGCTCAGATAGGGAGCAGGGAAGTGATTAGGATAACAGAGAGCCTGTGTTCTTGCTTCCTTCTTGTTTTGCAGAACCGCAAGTCGACTGTGAATACTTTCTTCCCGAATGTTCTTAACAATTTCTGGTTTTGAGACTTCCACGAGTCTGCTCATTGAGCACCTGGTCTCTGCCAGCAGATAGAGATTCTTCCCCCCTCCCACTGATATAACGGAGCCCTCCCACCTTGCTAAGGAAACCTCCCCAGGATTAAGCTCTCTGCTCTACAGATACAGGGAGGAGGTTCCGGGAAGGCTTGGCAATTTGTCCAGGTCCGAGATCAGCCGCACCCAGCCCTCAGCCAGTTTTTTCAGTGTCTGTGAGCTAGGAAGGGCTTGTATAACTTTAAGGAGTTGTGGAAACAAAATAAGACACACACAAAAAGCAAAAACAAAAGGATGTACAACAGAGACTAATGTGGCCCTCAGAGCCTGAAATATTTATTATCTGGTTCTTCTGGGAGAAAGGTTGCTGATCCTTTTTCTTAGGGCAGGGGCTGGGGAGTTTCTGGAAAGTTCCACTCTACATCGCCATTAGAGCAAAGGGCTTCCGGCTCCAAGTTGTGCTTATTCAACACAGGGCTTGCTTTCTTCACCTCTACTCCACGTGCCTAGCACGATGCCTGTCACTTTTAGACACTGTCAGAGAACAATCAGAGGGGGACAGCAGTCCAAGTGTAAGAAGACATTGTACTCCGGACAATTTCAGTAGGGGGAAAATGGCCTCAATTCTAAACACAATTTGGACAAGTGGGAATTTACAGCCCAGGGCAGGTGGGGGTCGTGGATGCAAAGTTACTAACCGGAAACATCTGGAGAGGGGGGTTCTGGCGAAAGCCACCCCATAGGATTCTTGCTGAAGGCAGGCTGGGGCACCGGACATCACCCGGGGAATGAGGACCTGACCAGATACGGAGGGGGGCGGTTCTCACTAAACCGATGTCACGGGTCCTCGCTAAGACTGGACAATGCAGGAATGAACAGCAAAGCCCAAAAGTTGAGGCCTAGTTGCAAAAGAACCCCCAAGAGCCTGGATAGAATTTGGTTGAGGATGCAGAGCTTTTGTCAACACACAGGAAACATGAATGAGGGAGGATGGAAGAATGAATGTAAAAAAAAAAACCCAGAACACAAAAACAGCATTCGAGAAACTCAATTGACATCTTCAGTCCTGATTTACTATCATCAACATGCACACACTTTCCAAAGCTCTTTATTAAAACCATAGACTTGAGAAGGGCAAACCCCACTCATTCATTTATAATAAATGTCAAATCTTCTGAGACTAATGACACCTTGCTTCGAACTAAAAAGCGTTTGCTCCTGAGTTTATCAAATAGTAATTCTACCTGAAAACGCACCATGGTTGTTTGTAATCATGCGATACAATGTCTATGGCTTTGGGGATGAAAGAAACACTCAAACTATATATTTAAACTTTTGTTTTCATGGGGACTTTTTGAGCCATGATTCATGACGAGCATTAAGCAAACGGGCCCCTGCAGCTGTTGAATTCACAAAACATCCACAGTGAACAGAGATGATTCGCGGAGTTCCCATGGGGAGGATGAGCTTGAGAACTCACAAAATTAAAACAAAGGGCAGAAGACCGCAGAGTTAAAGGTTTGTGTATCAAACCAGCAACCACTTGGTCCCTGTGCAGAGTGCCTCCCAGGAGGGGTCTAAAGAAAAGGGGAAATAAGTACTTGTCAAGAATGCAAACACAGCAGTAAAAATTTTTTTTAATTAAATTAAATTTAATTTAAATTCGATTAATTAACATATAGAGTGTTATTGGTTTCAGAGGTAGAGTTCAGTGATTTATCAGTTGCACGTAACACCCAGTGCTCATCCCATCACGTGCCCTCCTTCATGCCCATCCCCCAGTGACCCCCTCCCCTCCTGCCACCCTCAGTTTGTTCCCTAGAGTTAAGAGTCTCTTAAGCTTTGTCTCCCTCTCTGATTTTTTATTTTATTTGAAAGCAATCCCGTAAGGCCTGGCACGACCTTGTTTGGGGTGTGGGGAGCAGGGAGGAGGTGGCTGTGGCCTAGGAAGCATGAACCCCAAAACGCTTGCAAGGACTACGGCTGGATGCTAAAGGTGCCCCTTGGGGCTTTGCGCTTGCCCCCTTCCCTCCTCCTCCCTCTCTTCATTCTCACTACCCTCTCCCGGTCTCCCTTCTTCCCTTTCATAGGAGACTCACCAGGCAGACTCCAGCAAAGCAGCACAGAGGAGTCAGAGAGCCTGAGTCACTGGGGATTTAATAAGAATAGCATTTTATGGGCAGAGCATCTTATCAGAGCCGCGGGGTCGCGGGTTTCAGGGCCATTCCCTCCAGCTCTATTTTTCTCATCGATGGTATCTCAGTGCTAGCGCGTCATCCTGTTCCAAATGGGCTCATGCGTTTGGAAGGCACATTAAGAGCTCTGCGTGGATGGAAGGCTGTGACGATGTTTTCTGAGGACAGGCTCATAATTTCAGAGCTGGGCAAACTGGCACTTTGATGGAAAATATGCAGGCGGGGCTATAAAACCCGGTTCTTGCTCTTGAATTATTTTCCAGCCCCCAAATAAAACAAAACATAAAATGTCAGCTGGGCTATTTTAAAAAACAGCACAGAAGTGGCTCTGATCCCCACTGCAAGGGAGAGCGGTGAGGACATCTCTGTGTGCGTCCTTTTGTTGGCATCCTCCATCGGCAGCTGTACGCAGCAATAAAGACAAAAACTGGAGAAGAGCCACTTTTGTGGAATGAAAGCTGTGGGTATTTTACCACCGGAGGGAGAAACGCGCGGTTGGCATGCACAGAGGCAGCAGGTGGAGGTGGGAAAAGCCGCATCCTGAGCCCGTCTCTTGCTGGCCCCAGGCCCCTGGCTCGCCACCCAGTGGGGTTCCGGTTCCTCACTCCTCATTGGAGGATGTGCACTGCACAAAGTTAGAGCGAGGATTGGTTGGCATCAGTCATGTTTATTCTGCACGTTGTTAAAGCACCTCGTGTACATCCTGTTTCAGGAACTTACCTTTATTGTGTTTTTATTGTATTTTATTTAGAGCAAGAAAGAGAGCATGAGAGAGAGAACATGAGTGGGGGGGAGGGGCAGAGGGAGAGGGAGAAGCAGGCTCCCTGCTCAGCTTGGAGCCAGACGCAGGACTCGATCCCAGGACCCTGACATCATGACCCGAGTGGAAGGCAGATGCTTCACTGACTGAGCCGCCCAGGCACTCTAGTGTGTTTTAATACACAAATTCAATGAGCCAGTCGTCTGATCCAGAAACTTCGGTGGCTCCCACCTGTTCACCAAGGAACGGCCCGGAGAGCATCAGCGCAACTCTGGGCAGAGGGAAGACAGGCTTGCTGGGGTGGTCGGCAGAGGCTGTGGTCAGGGAGATGTGTTTGTGGAGGTGGGTTGAGGCCACTTGTGAAGGGCATTATTTGATGGAGAAGCCAACTTGAGGTGGTTAGACCTCAGGGGGAATTCTTGGGTTTCCTTCGGTCTGGCTGAACACCAGTGACCCCGCTTGATTTCGGTGAGGATTTAGGGAAGCAACCAGCACAGGGCCAGATGCATGGGAGCCATGCTCATTGCTAACAGAGGGAGATGCAGACACATCAGTGTGAGGCTGGGCTAACGCGATGGTCCCTGAGGGAGGGTGTAGAGGCATTTGTGGGGCTCTGCGGGGATTGGTAGGAAGTCACCTAGGCTGCTGACCTCCGTCTTAGCCAGCTTGAGCGGGGCCTTGCACCCATCTACCAGCAAGCTGACGTGGGACAGGAAGCTATTGGCCATGGTTCTCCTATTTTGGATCTCACCATACCGGCATGGACTGTTCTAGAAACTGGGAAACAACGTTGAAAGTGTACATCGTTGCTACTCAAATCTTACTTCTTTCTCTCCTCTCTCTCCTGCTTTCTGCGGAAGGCGGGGACCATGGACAAACCCCAGCCCCCAACATGACTCACTAATGTTAACAGCAGTACCGGTCATATTAACAGATAACCTGTACTGAGTGCTCATCGTGAGCCAGGGGCAACTTCTCGCACATTACATGGATTTAACACGGATGGTGGCTGCCATCAGGTACAAACACAGCGCTTCCTACGTCACTTCACTTAGTTCTGACACTGCTCCCAACCTACCGATGAACAAAGAACAATTACAGGGGGTCAGAGCTCACATCTTGGCAGACAAGACACAATTCTCATGGGGCCCTGTCTCTAGATCAATGTTCTCTGCCTGGGAGAAAAAAAAAAAAATCTCAAGGGAAAAATGCGTGAGTTCCCAGAATCTAAAGTAGGCAGTCATAGCTGGAGGAGCATGCGCCTAATAGGTATCCGATTCGATAAATACGATTACATTATCCGTATTTCAGGATATGTTTCTTTATTACAACACCCACACACAAGGTCGTATTTCTTCTTTAATATGACCCGAATGGCTTTGCAAAGCATGAATCTGACTGTCCCTTCTTACATAAATCCCCTTAATGGCCCTCTGCTACCCACAGTGCCTCTGGCCGGCTCTACCATAATCTCAAAAATAAAAAGTGAACACTGGGATGTGGTTGTCAACTTGTAAACCCATCAGCTGGGGGCATTAAACAGCCAAGGACCCCCTGGTACTCAGCACGGGAAGAGGAGACATTCTCCCCCTAGAAAAGTCCTAAGGACGCAATGCAGAGCGGGGCACGGTGCTCACAGGCCCATGACCATTAGTGGATGCGTGTTTAGAAAGCCCAGCAGAGCAGACCGCCCCGGCGCCTTCCCCCCACCTCGGCTCTCAGTGGCGTGCCCTCCCCACTACCACCTGCCCCCGAAGCTGCAGGTTTTAGGACAGGTTCAACTG